TTTCTTGAGGTCATACAGATAGTATGTGTGAGAGAGAAAACAGTTGGCTGTTCTTAGCAGGTGACTGACCTGTCCCAAGCAGATGTTCATGCCAATCATGATGGGCCCTCCAAGTGCCACCCTGCATCTGGATATGGCCCTAACTACTTTCCCCTAAGGTTGCCTGTTCCAGGGAGCCATGTTCTCTTCATTTACATGAAGGGAAAAACTGGAAAAAAGGCTGTAAATCCAACGACAAAGAGTAAAAAGAAGTGAACTAGGAAGAAAGGAGGTGATGAGAGTCATGACACCTGGCCCTCCTGCCTTTATCATTTTCTCAACATTCTGCCTGCAGAAGCCCAGCTGACAACAACGGTAACAGGGCATGTCTACGGCACCTTGTCTCCGGAGAAGGGTACGGTGTCCACGCTCTGGCCTCCGCTCCCAGGAAAGCCATGCTCACCTCCTCTGCTTAGCACATTAGGTTTATTACTGAGTCTCGGGAAGGATGCCCCGGACTGTCCTCTGGTGCTGTTGCCTAATTCTAAAGATACAGTGATGTCCCTGGGACCATCCTCCTAGTCTACGGCTTCGTGGCAAAAGCTAACTTTTTCATTCTGCCTTGTCCCTCGGCGTTAATTGCGTTCTGCTCACATACACGAGGTGGTGAGAAGTGATGCGGGCGGCCTCTCTTCTCTCCAACACCGCAGTGCCCCTGGCTTGCCCGGCAGCAGAACTGCAAGCAAGAGGCAGTTCCACCCTGCTGGTTCCTGTGATAAAAGGGCTTTGGAAATCTACGCGTGAGCCCAGCCTCATTGAGGAAAACAACCAGCACCACCACACACGAGTGAATTCAATCATCTCGTGGAACATAAATTTGCTTGATTTTCAACGTCAGCCAGGTATCGCGTGGAGCATGAGGCGCTGGGTAGGAACACAAAAGAAGCGATGGAAAACCACAAACATTAATCTATTCCAGCTTCAAACAGCTTTCAAGCCAGCAGTTATGCTGAAATCGTGCGTTGTCCTACTCAGTTTGGCAGATTAATAAAATTTTAGTTTGATCTATAATGCCACTTACGACCTCAGTATGGCGTGTTTCGCATTCCTGGACGCAGGTGCAATTAGATGCTGGTAATTACTGTTATGTCCAAAAGGCTCATGTTGTAACCACGGTAAGAGGGAAATGAAATACCCTTTCTTGGACGAGTTTCATTTTTGCTGCTTGGGCAATCCCCAATGTACACTTCCTACCAACATCTTGTGTCTGGGAAGCAGGTGGCTTTGTGTCAACAGAAACAGAACATTCTTTGGGGTTTGGCATATCAGGAGACAGCGTCTAATCAAACTGCAGCTTCGCAACAGGTATGTCAGTTTAACAAACAAGAAAAATCCTTTGATCTTTTTTTTTGCTGAAGTGAGGTGTGATCACCCAGAAAGAACTAAGGCATGCGTGAGCCCGTCAGGACAATCTCCGAAGCTGACATGCATTCCAATGGGTAGGAAGTGTGAGGGGTGAGGCACCGTTTCATTCCTGCACAGATAGACAAAGCTCGGGAATTCAGCAGTGGCCGAGGATCCCACCTGCCGAATCTCAGGGTTCAGGTAGGTATAGGACGGAGAAAGAGCTCGAAGACTCAGATGTGGGCCTCAGTCTGCTGCTGGCTGTGTGGCTTTGCGTAAGTCCTGAAGTCTTTCTTCCTTCTGGGTTTCTTGGCAGTAAAATGAGGATAATAAAACCTTCCCTGCTTGTGGCCTACCTCGTAGGGCTGCTGTGAGGAACAAACGAGGTGACAGACCTAGGAGAGCCCAGCAAATTATAAGACATTATTTAAACATCAGCTATCACGGTTAGTCCATTTCCCTTGGGGAATGTCACCAGGGGAGCTACGTGCCTGGAAAATGGCCTTCAGAATTTCCTAGTCCATTTCCCTCCCAGGCTCCGGAGGCGGATGGTGCAGAGACGCGGAGGCCACAGAGGAAGCACAGTCTCCAGGACAGGCTTCAGTGCAGCCACTGAACTGCAGGGTGCTGGCCAAGGCTCTGAAGCTTGTCCGCCACGGCAGCCTCTAAAGGGAAGTCACTCCAGCCCGTGGAACAAGGAGAGGTCTGAGGGTCTAAGGTGCCCCCAAGAGCCTTGCATTAGGAGCCAAGAGGCCTCGTCTTAGTGAGTTCAGGCCACTCTAACAGAATACCTTGAACTGGATGGCTTATAAACAACAGAAATTTATTTCTCACAGTTCTGGAGGCTGGGAAGTCCAAGATCAAGGTGCCAGCATGGTCGGGTTCTGGTGAGAGCCCTCTTCTGGGGTGCAGGCTGCCAACTTCTTGTGTCCTCACATGGTGGAAGGGCCTCTTTTACAAGGGCACTAATCCCATTCCCAGGGGCTCCACCCTCATGACCTAGTCACCTCCCAAAGGCCCCATCTCCAAATACTGTCTCGTCGGAGGTCAGGACTTCAGCATATGCATCTGGGGGACACAAACCTGCAGACCTGGTTCTACCATCAGTTCTGCTCCTTACTAGCTGTGCGACCCTGACGGAGTTACTGTTCCTGTGTAAAGGGAGGAAGTCCAGTTGAATTCGCTCTAAGGGCCCTTTCAGGTCACTCTAGCTCCTAGTTTTCTGTGCCTCAGTTTCCTCATTTGTAAAACAATAGTCCTTCCTCAAAGAGGGGCTGAGAGAGTGAGAGGGTGGCCGTACGTAGAGCACTTGGAAACACGGCAGAGCAAGCATCCGATAAGCACGAGCGATCAGGTCCTGACTCTAAAATAAAGGGTCTCCTTCAACCTGTGACGACGCTGCTGAAGGCACTTGCCATGGCCTCCAAAGCCAAGAGGCGGAAGCAGGCAGAGCCCCCGCAGGCCCAGCCCCATCCCTCCCCCTCCGCTCCCACCTACCTTTGCCCTCTGAGGCAGGTTGATCATGGTGTCTGGCTTGAAGTCGTTCTTGTTCTTCCTGCAGAGCACGGCAGTGATGATGATGATGATGACCGTGACCACGGCGATGGGCGCCAGCACCGCGGCGATGATCCACAGGTTGTTGGGTGGATTCTTCACCACGGCTACGGGAAGAGCCAGCAGGACGCACATGACAAGGAGCACAGGGAGGAGGACAGCAACCCAGACATAATGCCCCCCAACCCCAGAGTCAGGGGAAGGGAGGATATGGAGGATAAGAGCGTTTGGGTCAGAAAGCCTCTGCCTCTGCAGCTGTGTGACCTCGGGCAAGTTACTCAAGCTCTCTGAGGCTCAGTTTCCTCGTCTATAAAAAGGGACTATCACTCTGTGGTGCTTGGGTGTGGCCCCCAGTAGGTGCTCCATAACACCAGCCTCCGCCGTTATTGAGAGGAGGAGGAGGAAGAAGATGCACCAGTGTCAACTTTCCCCACTGGCCACGTCCAAGAGTCCAAAGAGAAGAGGAGACAAGAAATCTGAGAACTAGAAATGTGTGCCGGAGTCAGGAGGCAAGAGCCACAGAGAAATGACTTCTAAATATTGTCGTGAAGTCACCCTGTGAGTGAGCAGCGAATAAGATGTAACGTGAGCAGATGGATCTCCCCCAGAATGACTGGCTGGGAAGCTTGGGAATGCCCCGGTCTAATCAAAAGGATCAGGCAGTTCTCAGAACCAGCGTAAAGAAGGGCAGCCACAGTGCTTGTCACTAGGAAGAATGTGCTGTTAGGACAGAGGTGCCCTGGGGGCGGGGGCCGGGATGTACCTCAACACGGCCGTGGTCATGCTCTAGATCATGACAGAGACTTGGGTTACGCAGGCGTACACATTTGTCAAAGCTCATCACATGATATACTTAATCTGTACTTTTCACTGTATGTAAATTTTACCTAAAACAGACAAATGTTGAACTCTAGTCAATGATACGCAAGCTCAAGTGTCGAGGGCTGAAGTCTACCCACGCTGCAACTCACTCCGAAATGCATCAAAAAAGAAAGTGGATTGACGGGGGAATGGATGGACAAACAGGTGTATAAAAATATATAGTAAAATGTTATGTGTGGGTTCCAGGTGTTGGGAACATAGGTGTTCCTTGTGTAATTCTTTCAACTTTTGGGTAAGTCGGGTTAGGAAAATGTAAGAAAAAGGAAAAGTCCTTGACATGAGATGACTAAGTCTCCCCCAGGATCTCTGGCGGGGATTCTTGGAAAACACTTTGGTCCAATCAAAAGGCCCAATAAGTTCTTAGAACTGGAGTAAAGAAAACAGTAACCAAAGAGCTTGTCTGCCGGGAGAAAGAGTTATCAGAAGGGAGTGGCGTCTGTGGGAATCTAAAGAGAACCAAACGGGAGGCAAGGACCAGACGTGCCAGGACAACGTGCCCCAGCTGCAGATGTGGGCACACTGCTCAGACACAGGTCTGCCCTAGCGGACGAGATGGCTGCACTGCGTGTTTCAGCTTGGTGATAGCGTCCATTAATGCCACCCAGCTTCTCTCCTACTCCCTAGATAGTCTCACAACTCACGGTTTAAATACCATCTGTGCTCTGATGTTGCTCATGTACATATCGCCATCCCTCCAGCCAGGACTTCTACCCTGAACTCTGGACTCCTACATCCAACTGCCAACCCAGATCTCCAACTGGACATGTAACAGACACACCAAACGTATTACGTCCAGAGCCCAGCTCTTAACTTCCCCCCAAACCTGTTCTTCCTGAGATCTTCTTCACTCCAAGCAATGGCAGCTCCTTCATCCACCTGCTCAGGCCCATAACCCTGTCATCGATGCTGACCCTTCTCTTGCACTCTCACCCAACATCCTACTCACCAACACACCTGTCACCTCTGCGTTCGAAACAGACCCAGGATTTCTTCAGTTCCTTCTACCACTGGCTCCAACTGGGGTCCACGTTACCGACACCTCTCACCTGAGTCACTGCAGTGGCCCTCCTCCCTTGCCCTGTCCCCAGTGGTCCAGTCAAACACAGCAGTCAGCGTGGTCATCCAAAACTCAGATCACAACACTCCTCTGCTCAAAACCCTGCAGGGCTTCCTACCCCATTTAGAATAAGAGTCGGTATCCTTATCATTTCTACAAGACCCTAAGTGACCTGTGCCCCCCAGCCCCAGGCAGCCTGGCCTCCTTTTCTACCTCTCTGGCCTTACAACCTATTGTACTTCCCTCAACTCACTCTGCTCCTGTCCCACCAGCTCCCACTGGTCCTCAAACGTGCAGACACACTCCTGTCTCAGGGCCTTTGCACTGGCTGATCCCTCACCCGGAATGTTCTTCCCTTAGATATGCACCTGGCTTCCCTGTCACTTCCTGCAGGGCCCTGTACAGGGGCCATCATCTCTGTGAGGGCTCCCTGTGCTCTGTGTATAAAATAATCATCCCTGCCCCAGGCACTCTCCATCCCCCTCATCCTACTTCATTTTTCTCTAAAGCAGTACCGCTGCTTTTTTTTTTTTTGAGACAGAGTCTCGCTTTGTCACCCCCAGTAGAGTGCGGTGGTGTCATCAATAGCTCACCACAACCTCAAACTCCTGGGCTCAAGCGATCCTCTTGCCTTGGCCTCCTGAGTAGCTGGGACTACAGGTGCGTGCCATGACGCCTGGCTAATTTTTCTGTTTTTAGTAGAGACAGGGGTCTCACTCTTGCTCAGGCTGGTCTCAAACTCCTGAGCTCAAGCAATGCTCCCGCCTCGGCCTCCTAGAGTGCTAGGATTACAGGCGTGAGCCACCGCGCCCAGCCTAAAGCAGTGCTTCTTAAACTTTAATGTACAAACCAATCACCTGGGGATCTAGTTCAAACGTGGATTTTGATTCTGTGGGTTTGGGGTGTGGGTCCTGAGGTTCTGCCTTTATAATAAGCTCCCAGATGATGCCCACATTGCAGGCCCCTCCTTCCGCCACATTTGGAGTAGCAAGGCTCTAAAGCACGTGTCACCATCTGACATCCTGTGCCTGTATCTGCTCATGTCACACCTGCCCCTCCATTAGAACGTTCACTGCAAGAGGGCAGGGAGCTCTTTGTCTCTCATTCACTGCTACATCCCCAGGGCCTATAACAGGGCCTTGCATATAGTAGGTGTTCAATTAAAAGTTGAAGGACTATATACACAGACTATCATTATCCCTGCTGCAATTTGGCTCCCCATACAGGTTTTCTTACAGGACAGAGTATCAACAACTTAGAAGGAGAAGTCCCATCTCTGTGGTAGTTCTAGTATATTGTATTTTAAACCAATATACTGGAAAGCTGGTTTATATATCTATCTCTTGTAAGCCTGGTTAGCATGAATTGGTCCTCCCAATCCTGCTGAATTCTGGGGGCTACTAGGCAAAGCTGAGGACCAGCCTCTGGCATATGAAGACCCCACCAGTACATGCCACATGGTGAGGACCTGCCTAAGAAGCCAGATGGTCTTCCTCTCTGACTTTAGCCACCCTCTGACTTCAACTGGTCCCTTGTTAGTCAAGATCTGCCTCTCATCTGACTGTCCTCAGGCTCAGAATCCTATTAGTACAAAAGGGGACAGGCGTGGTGGCTCATGCCTATAATCCCAGCACTTTGGGAGGCCAAGGCAAGAGGATTGCTTGAGCCCAGGAGTTTGAGGCTGCAGTGAGCTATGATGATGCCACTGCACTCTAGCGTGGGCAACAGAGCGAGACCCTATCTTAAAAACAAAGACAAAAAAACCATTAGCACAAAAGGACTTCTCTTCCACAGTTTTTAATCAATTGGTGATTAATCATATTAACTTCCAAAAACAGCTCATTAGATAATGTGCTTCTGTTGACATTAAACACTTAATTGCTACTGCTTTCAGTAATTCAGTATTTATATGTGAGTTTTATGTCATTAACATTTTTTAAAGTTTAGAGCTTCTGTGAAAAATATCCATATGCTTCTTTTGGCTAAGCTATTCTATCTCGATGGAGAAAAATGTACAGTCATCAGTGTATACCCTAAATAAATACATATATATTTTTCTTCATTAGCAAGAATCAGTATTTATGTGTTCTGCTTTTATTCAGTTTTATTGTTTTAGTGGATGTTTCTTCTTGGTGCAGTATGTAAAATTCCTTCACCTATATTTGAATGGGGAGAGAACAGATTTATCTTATGCACATTAATAAATTCATTTAACAGTCAAAATGTGAGTAAAGTTAGGTCAACTGAAGTCATCCAAACCCAATATATTCATTGGCATAATGATCTAGAAGTACAAAGTCATGTCTGAAGGTGAAAAGGAATGAATGGTTATTTAAATTGCAAGAATTTCAGTAGAGGACAGATAGGAAAAAAAGACGTTCTGAGCACCTACTGTGTATTAGGCACCAAGATAGGTCTTTTGCCTGCCTGCTATTCTTACTCCCAATTTGCAGATGAGGAAACTGAGCCTCAGGGAGATCAGAGATTTTTATGAAAAGTTTCTCTTAAATGGTTTAAGTTGGTTCTGAGTTAACCCCCATGAATGGAAGTATATGCTTGTGTGTGTGTGTGTACACACGCGTGCACAAGTATTTGTCAGAAGGAATGAAATCAAAAGGTCCGAATAATCTAAACACAGAATAAGTAATTTTCACATGGAATAAATGTTGAAAGGAGAAGGAATCCATCAAAAATGTTTCCAGCTCATCTTTGAGGCCGAACATCAGAGTTCGTAGCTGGTGTGAGTGGACGCAGGGGAGAGTCTGCTGGAGGCCCAGCGGTTGCCGAGTGCTCAGTCCATGCTGCCTCCCTGCCAAACCCTCCCACGGCCTCTCATCCCACTCGGGGCCCAGCCCATGAGGCCACAGCGATCATGCTCCTCATCTGCACCTCGGTCCTCATCGCTACCACTCAGCCCCCTCAAGGCCTCCTCCCTCTGCCTGGAACCTGGTCCCCAGATATCCTCAGGGACCGTTCCCTCCCTCCACTCCTTCAGATGTAGTTACCTCCTCAGTGATCCTCTCTGGACACCCCAGCAATTTTAAATTGCAACCATTATCTTCTTGGCATCCCCCAACCCTTCCCTGCCCAATTCTCCTCCGTAGCACTTACTAGCATGGAACATACTGTTTATTTTGTTTACTTGATTTACCCCTGCACGAGGGCAGG